ATAATAATATTATTATTAATGTAATAATATATTATATATGTACATATATATTTATATATATATATAACGTTTTTATTTGACGTAATTGTTTAAGACTCGTCAGATGTGAATAATTTAACTGCATGTGCTTGTAAACCCTTGTGACGTGATCTAACATGTCTGTAAATGTTTGACGAACATGATGCTTTAGTATCGCAATATGGACACTGATAACGATATCCACGTCCGCAGAAGTATCTTACGTGTCGAGTTATCGTAGTCTTTTGGGTAAAAAATGTACCACATTTCAAACACTCGAAACTTTTTCTTTGATTGTAATGATACTTGTATCCTAATTGTACAGTCACTGTTCTTCTTTCTGTTGTTGCTGGTAGCCCATAAAACGTAGACGACAGATCCACCTTCAGATTATTTTGGTTATCTGAAAAAAATAAAACATTTGTAAGGATCAATTTTTCTTCTTCCTCTTTCTTTTAGGGTTTCGTTTTTTTTTTCTTTTTCTTTTTCTTTTTCTTTCTTTTGCGTCAAAATTTTTATCAAATATATTTTGTTTTTCTTTTTGTTCACAATTAACTCGCGTTATTTCGATTGATACGTGAAGGATTAATTTTAAAATAGATTTTCAAAACGTAATCATTTTGAAAAAGGGTTTAACTATCACATTTTACGGTTTCTAATACTTTTTTTTTGTGTTTAATCATATTCTTATACAAATCCTATGAAAATTATTATTCCTACTTCTTCTTCTTCATTTTTTTTTTTTTTTTAATTATTTTAATTCGAAGTTCTGTCTAAAAAAGAAAGAATGGCGTGTAAAGCTGAACTGAAACAAAAAACAAAAACAAAAAATCAAACAGAATAAAAAATAATAATCAAATTGAAAAATTCTAACTCCCTTTGTAGAAATGTTAATATAAATTTGTTTGTTTATCGATTCCTAAACGAAACACGTCGAATAAATTTATTATAAGCGGCGTGCTTAATAAAAAGGGTGGGGTTGGGGTTGGTTGAAACTTCCCAGTGTAAGTAATACCATCATGATTTTTATTTTTATTTGTTTCTTGTTCGTTAGTTTGTTCGTTCGTTTGTTCGTTCGTTCATTCGTACGTTCGTACTTCTTCGTTCGTTAAGTTCGTAAGTTAGTATTGTTTTAACGTAATATACTCAAAATAATTTTCTTAAACATAATTCATCCTGTGGATGCCATTTTTTTATATGCTTGTACAAATTCGACGTAGACTTATCTTTTTTGTTACAATAAGGACATGCGTATCTTTGTAAATGATTACATTTGTGCCTATTTAAATCATTGGAACGTCGATATCCTGCCTTGCATTTAGGACAGACGTATTCATTCAGCAACATTTTGTTCGACACGTCCAAATTCATGTCCAATATTCTTCTGCTTCTTCTTGTTCTTCCATCTGAAAATAAACCTTACGATTATTTATTAAATATATATTTTTTTTTTGCAAACGAAATAGGATACAACATTGAAATCTAGTTCGCGTATATATAAAACAGGATGGATGAATCGAATAACTTTTGAGCTTCGGAAAAGAAAATAAATATTCATTTCTTTGTCTTTTTTTTTTTCAAATAAAATCGACACTTCGATTGAAGAAAAAGAAATAAAAACATAAAATAATTTATGATATTCTAATAATGTTAGAAATATACAAACACCTTTCCAATCTGTTCCCACAATGAGATGTTAATTTCGACGAGTTAGACGACAGGTGTGTTATTTTTTTCTTGTAATATAAAAACAAAAGAAAAATTCAAAGAAAACACATGTGAACAGATATACAAGTTGATTATATTAATATGAATATGATGAGAGAGAGAAAAGGAAAAATTTCATGAAAATGAAAATGTTTTATAATTAAGAAAATTAAAAAATATACACGTGATACATATTGTGATAATGATCATTAGAAAAAGGGGATAAGGAGGTAGATGAAGAAAAATCGCAAGAATAAAATAGACAAATAAAGATAAAGAAAATACAATGTGGAATTTTCTTAAATGGTTGAGGAATTGTCGCAAATACGTTTTCATTTTATTTCGAAATAAATTAATCCTTTGATTTCCGTTAAACTTTTATACATTCTTCATCATCCTTCGTGAATATGCAACAAAAGAAATAAAAATTTTAATTGAATAAGAATCGATTTAAAATCGGTCGTACATTAAATTTTCAATTTTCTTTGTCATTCGATTTTTCTTATCACACTTACTCTCACTCACACACGCGCGCGCAGCACACATGCAAACAAAAAAAAGATTAGGAACTCGAGTTTCGTAAAAGTTTCGAATTACGAAATGTCACAAATGTCGTTGATGATAATCAACGAATTGTAAACTAAATGGATTTGAAAAAACCAAAAAAAAAAAAAAATAAGGGAAGTAAAATTGTCTATTAATTATAGTTCACGAAATATATCAAAAATAAAATTAATAATGATCGAAGAAAAACGATCGAGCATGAATAATACTTATCAATAAAATCTAATCGCAATATCAGATCTCGCAAATGTTCACAATGTACATGTTAATTTTCCTCTGTTTTTTTTTTTTAAATTATTTCTTTTAACAACGAGCAACGAACTTTTTTTTTCTTTTTTTTCTCATACATATCAATATTTAATTTTATTATATACAATTTGTTTTTTTTTTTTTTTTTTTTTTTTTTTTTTTTTTAATCAATCGATTGATTAAATTCGATTTATACAGCGAAAAAATTATTATTTTGTCATTCGTAGAGATTGGCGGGGGTGGAGGGTTGAGGGAGAAATCGAAGATCGAAAAAATGTAAATATACATAAAATATCTGTAAATAAGAGTAAGAGTAAGAGAGAGAGAGAAAGGGATTCAATGTTCACGTTTCACATATTTTCCACTTCTTTCTTTTTCTTCTTTTTCTTCTTCTTCCTCTTCTTCTTCTTCTTCTTCTTCTTGTTCTTCTTCTTATTTTTATTATTATTTTTTTTCACTTTTTGGTCGTATTCGTAAATTCGTCTAATTTCGTTCAACAGTCACTGGCAAACCATCGTGACGCATTCTAATGTGTTTGTAAATGTTTGACGAGCACTTGTCCCTTTTATTGCAATAAGGACACTTGAATCTAGGCTCCTTTCCGCAATCATACTTCATGTGCGTCTTCAAGGTCTTCTTGTAAGTATAACCAGCGTTACAACGTGGACAATGATATGACATCTTGCCAGACGAATGCCAATAGGATAGTTCATCATCATTTTTCTTTACGTCGTTACGATAATGATGGTGATGATTATTACCATGGTAATTTATGTTGCCCTGTAGAATTGATAGGACACCACCACCACCTCCACCACCACCACCAACACTCTGGTAAGATTCCAAAAGATGTCGCCCTACGAACAGGAAAAAACAAAACGAAAGGTTTTAGGATTAAACCAATCTAAATTTTCATTTGATTTGTTTGTTCTGGTCACTTGGAATAATAAAGACAAATAAAAATAGAAAATAAAATAGAAAAAAATGTAGATAAATAGTATTATTTCAGATGAAGATCTTACTCGAATTTAATTTAGATGAATTTACAATTGACAGAAAGAAGAGAGAGAGAGAGAAATAGGGAGAAAGAAGAAATTAAAATTATTTAATTATTGAAAAATTGTAAATAATAAATAGTTCTTTTTACCTGATTGAAAGAAACGAATTAAATGAATCATTTTACTTGGCTACTTTTTTTTCTTCATCTTTTTATCCGATAAGTGTACAGAAATATGAGAAGAAAGTGTTCGCGTTGGTTGTTTCAAAAAAAAAAACAAAAATAAATGGAATTATGATTGTTTCTTTTATAAATTATGATATATTATTGTTCTTTTTTTTATATTTTATTTTTTATATTATTAGACGGAAGGATAAAGGAATTGAAATTTATGATTTTAAGGATTGGGAGTATTATTTGATTATTTTTTCTTATTTATTATTTCGTTGATCAACGGATCAACATATTTTTTTATAAAATGAAAAATTTTATACAATTTTAAATAAATAATCTTATTGGATCATTGTTCCATCACGATGACGTTGATATAAATATATTGATAATTGTTTTCCCCCAGGTTTTTCCTTTCCCCTTTTTTGCTTGACTTGTCAACTTGTCGTTCAGGCCATTTGATCTTGCTTCAACAAAATCAACCATTAGATATAATTATTAATTATTGTAAATATAACAATTAAACAAACTTATGTGCTGCTTGGTTCTATACTGTATTTTGTATAATGCAATAATCTTTTACTATGCATAGTTACACATCACAGGTGGTACACGTGGCACGGAACATGTTAAATACGTTAATTTAATTAAAATAATAAATGTATATACTTTTATATTATATACATATATACACATATTATAGATATTATTAAAAAAAAGTCATATATAAGATGTCTACTTTCAAAAAACTTATTGGTAATACGCGTTGTAATATATAAATCCGTTTTAAACGTGTTATATTGAAAAGAACAAGTATAAACAATTAGAAGTAAACTTAGGTTTATATCCTTGACTTTCGACATCCCCACCACTATAGGCGTTCAGTTAACGACAATCCACCGTTGTGTTAACATCGTATGTCATCGATGTAGTCAATAATCAAATTCTTTATGATAATCGGACGCTTACGTGTGTATATAAGTGGAATACGTCTTTATAAAAGTGAATACGTGTTTAAAAAAGTGAATACGTGTATTGGTGATCAAAATTGATTAGGTACGTGAACTTAATTAAAAACATTCCCATAATATTAACATCAAATTTGGCATACTCGTTTTTTTACAATATTATAGTTAATCAATAAAAATATATTCCTATTTCTAAGATACCTAATTTCTCTGACAGATCTTTCTTCTAATGTATTTACTTATACGAATCTAATATTAAAATCGTACACCCCGTCATTTGTAACAAACGAGGTTGCAACATTTTTTAATTATTTTCAATGTGTTTATATCATCGTGATTGCAATAAATATACCGAAATATTTCATCAGGAACGACGTGCATGCAGTGAGTGGTATTGAAGATGTAGCAGAACAACGTGTGTCCCGATAAAACGAAACAAGTGCAACCTCGAGCTCAGTGAAACCCTTTACACGTGCTGTGCTCTCTCCACCATGACATTGTAAGTACCTTATAAGTACCTGCAAAAAAATTAATTCTTTTATGAGGTTAAAAATATTCATTACGTTTAAGCACGAATTCTTTTCTTTTTCTTTTTTTTCTCCCCTTCGTCCCCCCTCCTTTCTTCCATTATTCTCTTGATCATTGGGGGAAAGGGGAGTTTGGATTATTTTTTTCATTTCTTTTTGCATGCGAAATGTATGGAAATTTTGAAATATTATTTTCAGCACGTTTACAAATCATGTTTTTTTTTTGTTATATTTAAAAAGCATTTCTTTTACCTTTAGATAGCATAATCTAATAAGAGATGAACCATTTTTATAAATAGTAAATAAAAAAAAATAATTAAAAATTAAAATAACAATTTGATCATTAGTATCGATAATACTTCTAACTATACAACGTGTACTATTTTAATTATAGTTTTGAATTTCTTCTTTTCTTTTTATTTTTAATCATCTCAAGACGTAATATTTTTTTATTGTTTTTATTTTAATAATATCAACAAATGCAGTCTTATATGTTCATTTTACAATTTAATTATAGAATACTAATTTTTTTATTGTGTTGTTTTTTTTTTCTTTTCTTTTCTCTTCATTTTTCTTATCATTTCTTTTCTTTTTCTTTTTCTATTTTACATGAACTATTAAAAGTAATTCTATATAATGCTTTCGTCGCAATTCCTTGGCATATGTGTAATAAGTATTAAATAATAATTACAAATAATAAAATAATCTTAGATGAAAAAACAAATGTAATACTTTGACTAGAACAATAATCTTTTCTATGTTTGAAATAAAACGAGACGAATTATCAATCGTTTAATCAGTTAACTGTGGCATTTAGTTTTAAAAGATCACCACAGAGTGTGGAATTAAAAACAAGCAACGACGTGCATATACGTCAAACGCAGGGCAAATGGTATTATTATACATTTGACGAAAAACGAGGGAGGATTATATTTTTATTCAAAGTCAATTAAAACTAACAATTCGTTTCTGAATACGTTATTCTTACTAAAAACTTGAAAATTGTCAAAAAATGATCAAATATTTTACAAAATTTCAAGCTATGTATGTGTGATATGTTTCAAAGTGTGCACGGTACTACGCAAAGTGCGACTTCACAGGTCGTACATCAAAACCTTGTTTCCTTGCGTTTTCCATTTTTTGAACAAACGGCATATCTTATAAATAAAAATAAATTAAATAAATATAAATAAAATACATAGCGGTCGTATTGGTAATATAAAGGAAACATATATCACCAAATAATATTCTCTTATTACATTTTATTGAGATTTCGAGTTTTTATAGTGAATGGTAATTTGTTATTTTACACGTACGAGTATACACGTCAAACGCATTGCAATTGAGATTTGGTTCGACGTGTATACACGTCGAACGCACTTATATGGTTAAATAATTTTCCAAAAAAAAAAAAGAAAAAATAATAAAAATAATATAAACTACGTATTATTTAATTATTTACAAAAAAAAAAGTAATAAATAAACGTGTAATCAAATCTAATGTTAATAAAGTGTTGAATTTTAATACAACGTAATGAATTTAGGTTCCATGTTATGATGTTTAGATCTGATGTGCCTATAAATGGCCTGAGTATATTTACTTCGCATATCACAATATGGACATTTAAAACGTGGAAAATCGACACATTCGAGTTTGTAATGTCGTCTCATACCAGCTGAAGTACGAAAAATCTTAGAACATTTAGGACAAGGGAAGTGTAACTTATTAAATATGTTTAATTGTCGTCTGACCAATGGACGACACGAATGTTGATGATGTGTCACAGTAGGTTGTTGTAACTTCTCTATCACGATTGGCCTGAAATCTGTAAGCAAACAAAAAGTAAACAAATGTCAGTCATTAAATAATTAATTAATTAATTGTTCTTTCTTTTTTCTTTGTTTTTCTCTCTCACTTTGTCTTTTTCTATATTTGCGAATATTCAAGGAAAGAAAAAATAACTCTCCTACAGTTAAAACTATATTACCTAAATACTGAACGATCACTAAACTTGTGTAACGTTTTTTTTATTTATTTATTTTTTCTTTTTTTTTCTTTCTTTCTTTCTTTCTTTCTTTCTTCTTTCTCTATTTGTTTCTGTGTTTCCCATTGTTTATACTTTCTTTCAGTTTTTGTGTTTTTTTTTTTTTTTTTTTAATTAATAAAGTTTATTAAGGATGACCGCGTTTCCTTGATGAAGTTTTCTTATATGATTGTAGATAGAATGTGACCACTTGCTTACGTGACCACAATAAGGGCACTGATAACGTGGCAAGGAATCGCACTCGTATCTATAATGACGATACATCGAGTAACTTTGTGAAAATGATCTATCGCATTTCGGGCAATGATACTTTTTCAATTTAGAAGAAACCATCATCGAATTATCCAGTGATTTTCGTTGGTTTTTATTAAGTTCAT